CCCCTGTCCTTAGTGTGTGATTGTGTGTGTGAGTGTGTGCTCTGCTATAAACTAGTATCCTATCCATCGTGCCCCCTGCCCTGTGCCCCCTGGGACAGGCTCCAGGCTCCCACCCCCCCGTACAGGATAAGCAGTAATGGAGGACGGATCCACACTGTTCCAAAGAAAGGGCTCCAGCTCCCTTCATGACTTCAGACCAGCTGCTCTCACTTCACGCCTCCAGGCTTGAAGTTCCTCGGGTTTGCTGAAGTGGTCTATTGACTTTTGGCTTAAATGTGAGATTTTACCGTAGCAGTGTTTAATGAAACTGATGTCTTAACCTATAATTGCACATACCTGCATGTTATATCTGATACCACATGATAGTTTCAAATCCAAATCAAATTACTTTTCTTCTAGTAAATCTGCTTCATCTGGAGAAAAAATAGCAAAGACAATCTTCTAAACAGACACAGAAATTCATTCTAAATAGAACTGCTCTCTTATACCTTTCTATCAAATTTCAACCTAAAACAATCAAATCCTAAGATTATAGCTTGTCTGGGAAATCAGTAACAGTTATATGCATAAAAGCTAAATAAATGTCTGTTTAGGGGTACAGTTTGTATAATGAAATATTTTACTCAAACTTCAAAATCCAGTGTTTGCTCAGTCTGCTCTTCTCAGTCTGGCCTCAGTCCAAAACCACACGTACTGCAGCCTGAGAAACAGGAAGTTCCTCCTAATTCACACACATGACTGTGAGAGAAAACGAAACTAAATTCTATCGGGGATTGTCGTAAAATGGCAGAACCCAGTTCAGCACTGGATCCGAACCAGTTCAGATGTCCAATCTGTCTGGAACAACTGAAGGATCCAGTGACTATAGGCTGTGGACACAGTTACTGTATGAGCTGCATTAAGAGCTGCTGGGATCAGAAGGATCGTCTTGCAGTTTACAGCTGCCCCCAGTGCAGACAGACCTTCACACCCAGACCTGTTCTGTACAGAAACACCATACTGGCTGAGCTGGTAGAGAAACTGAAGAAGACTGGACTACAAGCAGCTACTCCTGCTGACCATTATGCTGGACCTGGAGATGTGGAGTGTGATTTCTGTACTGGGAGAAAACACAAAGCTGTCAAGTCCTGCCTGGTGTGTCTGGCCTCTTACTGTGAAACTCACCTCCAGCCTCACTATGAGTCTCCAGCTTTTAAGAAGCACAAGCTG